CCTGGATCAAGAAGCTTTTTAAGAAGAGGTTAAATTACAGCTACTTCTAGGTACCTCCAAGAGGCAGGTTGATGGTTTAGATGAAGAAATCTTTAAGTTAGTTGGTAAAGATGGAGGTTTTACAGCTGTTTCTAATGTTCCTGAGTTTAGAGATAAGTTGGTGCTGACACTGTTGTACCCTGCAGGAACATTAAGATTTCTGAAGATGTACATGTAACCTCGAGACTGTCGATGCGTTTCCAAAATTTAGGTTACAACTCTTTTCTCCTCTTTCTTTTGTCCATGCTCACCTTTCTCCATTTTAACTGGTTTTAAGTGTGATTTCTATATTGCCTGTACCTGAGTTTAATTACACATTAAAGTAGCATCACGTGCTTGAAATACAAGTATTTCTGAAGATTTTGAAAAAAGTGCCAATAATTTTGTCCAGTCCAATTTTCCAGTTCTGTGTGAAATGTCTCTGATTTGGATTTTTCCTCTCTGCTTTTTTGTGTTGTTACAATGGAAATAAAAGAAATATGAAAATACCAGAGCATTGTAATTGGTGCATTATGTGACAGATATGCAGGGTGTAGTGTTTCCAAATATCTGTGCTCCGGGATCACGACAAAGCGGTGCAATGTCAGTTGTATTAAGTTGTACATGAAGGCGGCATCCCAAAAGAGTTATTAGAGCTATTGTAATGGATGCCACTCCCAAATTATGTTATTTAAGAGTAACACTGAACCACTTCTTTCTCCTTGTCTGTTGTCGTTGACACCATAACAGGGAAAAATATGTATTTTACCCAGCCCTTCAAGCCGGAACAGACAGATCAGGTCCCTCTTTCAGAAAGACATTGTCACTAGTGATGTGTCCGTCCGTATCGAGGCTTCGAAGCGTGTGTCGAGTAATCCAGGATGATTTTTGTGAAGCGCGTGTTGAGGCTTGTGTTGGTGACGTATGTGGTGACGTTTGAAGCCTCGTGAGCCGACCGTACCACGTGACCGATTCAGGAGATGGTTCGAGAGTTTGGCGAGTTTGTGATGAAAAAGAAGAAAGTTTTAATTAAGTAAGAAAATGTTGACATTTTGTGGTTTTGGTAAAAATTAAACTCTTACTCCATATCCCTAATAATCATTTTCTACAGCAGGTGGAAATTCCAAAAAAATAAATAAAGATATCGCCTGAAGTCCAGCACTGTGGAAAAGTTATTTTTAAATAAAGATGAATAAAATGTTGTCTCTATTATATAAAGTCACAAACCAAACTCCCTTGTTTCCACTTTCCTTTTGACCATGTCATTGTATCATAAAGACAGACACTTTGTTAATAAGTTAATCAGTTATGTATTGGCATCACAAACATCACTCATTATTAATTCAAAGCTTCACACACCAAAGCCGTGGTGCAGTTAAAATCACCTTGCCTGTTTTACATCTATTGTCCACTTGATGGCACACTAGAGCAAATGAAGCACCGTGAAGCTTCGGCCTATGAGTGAACCAACAGGATGGAAAGCTTCAATGCTTCATGAAGCTTCATCTCGCCATCACCAATTGTCACCATCCCACAAGTAATCCATTACTGGGGAAGATTTGTTTCAAATGTCAAGCGGAAAAAAGTTTGGACCATACCTTCAAGATACTTGATCACGAAAACCTCTAGATGTCTATTTCAAACTTCTACATCTTTGCTACCCAGCAAAACATTACTTGCAAAGACTCTTAGTCTCTTAGACTTCACCTAATATTTCTGCTATCACATGCCTGGCCATTTTTTTGATTTGCTGTACAAAGATGTCATGTTTGACTTTTATGATTTCTGCATTTTAGAACAAAAACAGTATTATATCATAAATCTTTTTTTATCATATTAGCAAAATTTCACGTAAGTAAATTTTGTAACCACAAACCTTTATTTGAAGTTCTTATGAAAGAAATTCAATAATACATACAAGCTATTCAGCACTCTTCAAACCCCAAAGCCTTAAAGACTCTTGATATGCGTAAATTTCTAAATTGCCTGAACTGCTGATTATGTTTTATTTAATTTAAATGTTTAGTTGTACATTGTCCTGGAGTTGCAATAAATAATTAAATAAATAAATAAAAACACGTTATCTCCTCACGCCCCTTTGTTCCACCAATGGGAATGCAGCCAGCTAAAACCTTAGCCGGCTAGCTAGCTACTCACCTAAGCTTCAGTCACAACAACAAAGGTGGCAGCTGCTGATTAAAGCGCTCATGTTCACAAACATATAGCACCTTCAGTTTGACTTCATAAACCAGCGTGTGAGAATCGGTATATAAAGTTAAGGGTACGTTAGTTTCTGCAAAGTTGTCAGCTAAGCTAGCTGGCTCGCTCATTTAATCTCGCGATAACTAAAGAAACGCGACCATCTCAATCCTTATGGATCACCAAAACCAACCATCCCTATCCAAACATAAACATAACAATGGTCAACTTTATATCTACACGTATCCATCTCGTGGCAGGTAATTTACATTGACCTCGCCAGCTTTTACTGTATGTAAATTAAACTTTTTTTCCCAGGCCAAAATCAGACCATTTCTTCCAACAATCATGGATGCCCTTTGGGAGCCATTCGCTGAAACGACCTTTCGTGTTATCTAGGTTAGCACTAGAACAATGGTGCACATTTGAACTTACGCTGACTCTGAAGGCTCGGTGTTGAAGCAGCCTCGATGCCTTCAGTCCTGCCGTCTGCCGAACAGCATGGAAACATACTCCATACATTTTGCTCATGCCCCTCACAGCCGCCATCTGTCTCACAGTCGTTAGATTCAATCGGAACCGTGCTTGCTTTGTCAGGGACGATAAACTCACAGCAAATATAAATATAAATGTGCGCCAGGACCCGCTAACAACAAGCGTTTGACCGCCGTTCAGTCCCCTGCACTGATATTTCCATCCACACTTTAACGCTTGACAGGTCGAATATCAGCGGTGTCAAGTCCACCATAACAATAATCACGACATCCGGCCAAGCCTTCAAAATAAAATCTTAAATGACCAAAACCAACTTCTTTTTCTTCTTCTTTTTAATTGTTGTTTAATGGCGGTGGAGTGTGGGCCGGAGATTAAAAAAAGAGCAACACAAACGAACAACACATCCTTTCTGCCAATCCCGTGACCTAAATGAAAGTGCACTTAGGGACTTTCTCAGTAAGAAGTCCCTAAGTGAATTCCCTTGAAACCTACTTATGGCTTCTTTCATCTTTATCCTTTCCCCCTCATATTTCTGACACCCAAACCCACATGTTCCACAGTCTACCACATATTAAAGGCAGTGGTAAAAAGAAAAGTATTCAGTCTTGATTTAAAAGAACAGACTTTCAGCAGACCTGCTGTCTTCTGGGAGTTTATTCCAGATATGGAGCATAAAAACTGAACGCTGCTTCTCCATGTTTAGTTTTGACCTGATAGGTCTGGATGGTCCATACAACAACATATAATATAGCAGAAGATCAGAAATGTATTTTGGCCCTAAACCATTCCCTGCTTTATAAACCAACAGCAGTATTTTGAAATAAATTCTCTGACAGAGAGGAAGCCAGTGGATCCACTTTTTTGGTCTTAGTGAGGACTGGAGCTGCAGCTTCTGAATCAGCTGCAGCTGCCTGATGGATTTTTTTTAGAGATCTGTAAAGACACCGTTACAGTAGTTGACTCGACTGAAGATAATGGACAAGTTTTTCCAGGTACTGCTGAGTCATAAGTCCTTTAATACTTGAAACATTCTTCAGGTGATAGTAGGCTGACTTTGTAATGGCTGCTAAATCTGCTAAAATTCAGGTCTGAGTCCATGACTACACCAAGATTTCTGGCTTGGTTTGTAACATTACCGACTGAAGCTGAGCACTGACTTTTAATTGTTCTCATTGGCTCCAAAAACAGTGACTTCAGTTTTATCTTGGTTCAATTGAAGAAAACTCTGGCACATCCAATTGTTGATTTGTTCAATACAGTTACTCTAGTAACTGAGCCTTTGTAAAAATAGTTTCCTCTCTTCATTTTCCTCCAGTAACCCTGCCTGTCCTATCCTTTTGTTGAATACAGTATAAATGTCTTCCTTTCTCCTCTGCATCCCAACGAACCTGCCACTGAAGCAACTTGTTAAAACCAATAACTGACTAAAGCACGGTACAGTATTTAGCCAATGTATGTTGGGCATCACAACTCATTTACTCATATTTATAGTGGTTCCCTTTCTTTTAAAACCATACATTGATCACATAATATCTGTACTCTTTGCTTTATACATATTCAATTATTATTTTTGTCTCAAATTAATGAACATATTTGCTAGGCATGTGAGTCATGTTTTGCTTTATATATATAAAATCTTAACATTTAAAAGAACATATCAGGAGCCTTTCTAGAAAAGTTGCCCCCATGTATCATCAGCTTTAGTCTGAATGCAAAGCAGATAATCATTTGGTACCTGAAGCTGTCACAAGTGTTTTCTGTTGCACCTGATTCCACCTTTTCTGCATTGCTTTGTCTCTTTCAAAGACTTCATCCAGTGACATTGTTCACATTTAAAAAACTCTAAGAATATCCTGCAGTGACACCGAATATACCAATATTTCTTGATAATTTCTGTTCCTCCAATTGACTTCAATAACCTGGGCTGTTTTCTTTATATGGGTGGTGGTAGAACAGTGGATACAACACATGCTTTTGGTGTTAGAGACACGGGTTCAATTCCCCACTATGGCACATTCGCCAATGTGTCCCTGAGCAAGACACTTAACTGCTCCTTGCTTCAGAGGTGTGCTACCTGTGATATATACAGCAACTTTAAGTCGCTTTAGATAAAAGCGTCAGCGTTTATAATTGTCACTTTCCTTACAAAGCAGTTCTAATTATTGCCATTACCTTCACCTTTCATCTCCCTGTACGTATAGACTGAAATATTTGGGTTCTGGTAACATATTAACATCATACTCATGGTCAAAGAGAGCAAATTCAAATGACGACTTATGTTATCTTTGTAATGTAAAAAATATTTAAAAATATTTTATTTACATTATATGAAGACATGATTTTACTCCTGGTTGATTATTAGGTAAATCAGACATCAACACAATATTAATCTAGCAGCATAGTGAATGATGTGTTTGAACACATCCCTCATAAAGAACAGGAACAATGTGTTGGTTGTTGGTTTTAACAATTTTTCTGTAGAAAAATCTGCATATCTGCCTGTTCTGGTAGAACGTGTGACCTCTCATGGCTGAGTGTGTCCCCTGCTGTGGAAAACACTCTCTCACGAGGAGTAGACGATGCTTGGATACACAGGTATGAGTTGGAGAGCTCAGACAGGAGAGGCAGCGTGTCTCGTCTCTCCCACCACCAGGCCAGAGCGTCCTCTGACGTGGGTACTGCAGGCAGGTTTCTGTACAGCTGTATTTCTTGCTGGACTCTTTCAGGTATTGAAATTGTCTTTTCGGCTGCTGCGCTGCTCTTCAGAACTCTGTCCTCCTCCTCGAAAAGCTCCTCCAGGGCTGTTAACCTCGGCCTTTTGGGATACGGTGTCTGGCAAATGGAAATAAAGCAAAGCACAAGTGTTCAACAAGACAACCTGGATTAAAAATACGACACGTTTGTGTCACGTGGACGGCATTACCTCATCTGAAGAATACTCTGGCTCCTTGTCTTTCTGCTCAGACACATCAGATGCATCACTATCGTCCTCCTGCAAAAGTCTGTGTTCCTCCTGATTTGACACCTAAAGAACATGTTTGATCAAAATTAATTGACAAGGAGTACAAAAATTGTCAAAAAGGCCTGCATGTCACCTCATCACCTGAATTTTATTTAAGTTTACGGAGATGTAAAATTACACTTAACTACTTCAACTGAGAGTGTATTTGATAGCTGATGACAGGAAGACACTTTGATTGCAGCAAACAGTAGTAGAACAAGTGTAACATTGGAAAATAAAAGATAATACCTGTGTTTTGGTTTTAACCCTAACTGCAGCATTTTCCACTCTGTGCCAAATCTCATCTGAGTCTATTCTTGTCTTGAACCTTGGATCCAGAGCGCTTGACTCCTGTAGGAACTTCCAAGTATCGCCATCCTGAAATGAAGCATGCAGACTCTGGGCTGATGGAACAAAATGTAAAATTTGTGTGTAATGAAAACAAGACACAGAAAGCTGAGCTCAGTCACACCAGGGATAGAGCCTGACCTGGAACTGCAAACAGACGGCTCTCAAGTAGGATCCAGAGGATAATCGTCCTATTTCAAAGTCAGTACTGAGATGTATGCCAATATTTTCAAACACTAAACACTACTCTTCAAAGAAACCAGGTCACTTCTTTCTTGAAGCCAGGAGAAGACTGGTTGCTGCTACCTTCTTACCAGTTCCTTCACAGATGGGATCCTGTCTCATCATGGCATTTTGAGGTTTGCTACTAATCGTTGTGCTCTGTACTGCTGCGGACAACATCTGTTGATGAATACAGTACTCATCACTGGTATATTTTGATCTATAGAGCCACTGTGAGTAAATTTCTGTCCCATCTCCTAGCGAACTTACACTGAGTTGACTGTTTATTAGGTACACAGCCAAAGCTAATGCAGTCTAATACAGTACTGTAATAAATCCTATAAAATCTATTAATGTTCAGATTTTGTTGAAACTTTATGATCATTTTGGAGGATGTAGTTTGCAGTGTTGTTGAACTGTAGTGCATTATAAGTAGAAGTGTTTGTATTATGTAGTCTGCCCTCATTGATATAAATGAGGTGGACAAAATAATAAATAATACTGTGTTTACATTCCATCTGTTCAAAGCGATATGCGATGTTGCCATTTTGACTGTACCAAACACTTCCAAACAATGATCCATTTTCAACGTAGTTGCTTCATAATAATTTAGGGTTTCAAAAAGCTTTGTTTTTCCTGTCAGTAGTTTTTAGTATTGTTTTAACTGTTTGACTAATTAAGTAATGTTTTGTTTGCATCTTTTTCAGCTGCTGTCCTAGATTGGTCTCTGTTGCATTCTGGTTGAACATAGGTCAAACAAAATAAAAATAATATTTTACACCTATCTTTGTAGAGATGCTTCAATTAAAATATACCTAGAGAACTAAATACAACTAAAGCTGAAGTTGATTTAATCTGTAACCATTTCAATAATCAATTAAATGATTTTTCAAGGAAAAATGTCAATCATTTTCTAGTTCTTTCATTTCAATTGTGATCATTTGTTGCTTTTCTTTATCCTGTGTGATAGTAAATTTAATGCTTTAAGGGTTTTGGACTCTTGGTTGGACAAAACAAACAATCTGATAAACCACCGTGAGCTTTTTTCACTATTTTATAGAAAAAATAAATTGAGACACTAGTCGGCTAAATTAATGAAAGTAATCATTAATTTCTACGCACAATGAAACGTCACAATTGGAAAGTACAGTACAATTACTTTACAACAAAAGAATTTGTCAGGAACCCCTTTTGAATTTGCTCACCTGTAGGAAGTACTACACATACCTTGTAACATGTAGACAGGTCACCCCAGACCTTTTCCTTGAGCGTGGCTGTGAACAGAGAGTCCTCATCCCGGGTTTCAAAGTGGGCCTCCAGTTTTTTCAAGATGGGAAATATCTGACTACAAGTTGGACTCTTGTCAGCGGAGACACAGAGCGAAGATGTATACAAAGGCTTCATGATCCTAATGAACTCCTCTGCTTTTCGGTGATCATCGTCTGTCAGCGTTTCTAGCCTTCGAAGTAAATATAAGTCATATAATGAACATGTTATTTCTACACAATTAACAATACTGCTTTCTAATTTCTAATTAACTTTCATCACCTTTTCTTCTCAACATACGGTTTGATCTGCGGGTCTGTGGTAGTGGCCTGTAAGGCAGCATACTGCTCTACAAACCTCTCCACCATGAGGTACAATGAACTCCAATGTGTTTGGACATCGAGTACTAAAGAGTGTTGTGGTAGATCTGAAAGGCAGACAGAATTTGGATGTTCAATCTCTTACATCCAGTATATCTTCTTACTGACACACCACTTCACGCACTATATAAACAGTCAAAAAGAAAGACAAAAAGAAATCATGTACTCACTCAAAAGCTGTTGTTTCTCCTGAAGAACTGTTTGAGCTGTGGAAAAACTTTTGATCCAAACAACAACAGCTCTTATTTTTGATGCCCATCTGGCCACAGTGTTACTGGTGTACACCTTCTGTGCAGCAAGATTAAGAATATGGGCAAAACATCTCAGCTTCCTCAACTGCAGTTTCTTGATGGCAATCCTGAACACATTATCCACCGTCATGGCAACAACTTTGTCTAGGACACCAAATTCCTCCAGTACACCACCTATCTGCTCTGCTACTACTGTGTCTGTCTGAGTGTCGCAAACTGACTTCGTACACAGCACTTTCTGCCTCATCTGGCCTTTCATTATGAAGTGTAAAGTAATAGTCAGATAATGGTCGTGGGCAAAACTTGTCCACCAGTCACATGTCACTGCAGCCTTAGACACTTGAAGCAGCTCTCTGATGACATGCTTCTTCTCCGCAGAGTACCATGAAGGTATCAGTGTGTTTATGAGCTGATCTCTGGAGGGCAGGTGGTACCTTGGGTTTAGTGTTTTTGTCATCTCTCTGAATGAAAGCAGAAATTAAAAATGCAGATTACCAGTGGATGTAAATAATCACATTTGTCCATCAAAAATCCGGGTTAACAAAACCTACCTAAACCAAGGTGACTCCACTGTGGACAAGGGATGTAATCCTTTCACAAGATATCTGCTCACAGCCCTGTGACACTCCTCTGTTCTTTGTTTGCTCAGCCTCTGTATTTCAGCCGGCATGAAGGAGGTTGTGACAGCCGCAGACACTGCAGCTTCTTTGTTGTTACCGTCTGAGGTGGCAACATAGGCAGAACTTCCTGTATCAACAAAAGATGACCCACATGCATGAACTTGCGTAATGATTCCTAACATTGATACTAAGCTTTATTTCCAGAAGTTCTACTACTAATTACTTTTCTCATTATCAATTAATCTGCCAATTACTTTCTCGACTAGTCGCCTGGGTGGTGTCATCAGCTTGTTTGTTTTATCTGACTAATAGACTACAATCCCCTTAAATATTCACTTTACTATCATGTAAGACACAGAAAAGCAGCAAAAATCACTACTGAGAAACTAAAATGTATGAATTTTTACTGAATAAAAGGTAGTTGCCAGTTAATTTCATATCGTGACTTATCAGTTAATTGTGCCAGAACAGATTTTCCAAATAAAACACATCGCACAGTTTGACACATTTAGCTGGATAACTAAGATTTCAAAGCTTTCGTAATGAGCCGAAAGTAATGCTTAAGATAATATTAACGTTGTAAGACTGACCGTAAAAATTTAACACTTACGAGCAACCAGGCTGCTTGTTATTATCTCCATGCACACTGAATCCCAGAATTCCTCTGCATTTACTTCTCCGGTAAAGGATTCAGGCAGGCCCTTTATCTCAATCCCTACAAAAAATGTATGTGAATTACTGATATGATTGTGTGAGATAATGATTATGAACAGTGCATGATATTAAATCACCATTATGTAAACCTCTTGTGGCTGTCAGAAAGAACAGCTTTAAAGCTATCAGAGGAAATAACAATACATTCGCAGTACATGCACAGACAGAGATAACGAGTCGTACTCACCTGCCATGTTGAAAATGCCTTTTTGATAAAGATCCATCATGACTTCAGACGGACAGTCGTGACTTGTAAGAGCTTCAAAGTGGATGTATGCCTGAAGCACTTCCATGCCACATGGAGACTTGACACCTACTGTCCGCAGCACCTCCACTACTCCACCATCATTAGTGTGACTCTAACAAACAAAAACAAATGACATTTAGGTTATAACCTCACTGAGAAAATGTTACACCAAACCACAGAGCATTTAGACTTCTTTCATAAAATACATTGAGTACCTTGATTGAGTTTTGCAGAAGAATGCATAGTTGCAGACTCAGGATGATGTCGTTGTTGAAATTGTGAAGACCCTCGCTCCACTCCTGGTAACAGTAGACCATTTCACAATCCGGACACTTTTTGAAAAATGTGGAATTATCTGGAAGACATAAAAAGAGGGACTGCTGAAACACAACACACAAAAAGATTATAGCTTAATATGTGCATGTTTGCAAACAAACCTTCTGTCATTCCTGTTAAAGTAATGACTCTCGCTTTGTTGGTGATCAGCACTGGCTCTGTTAAGGAGACATGACCTGGGCACTCTTGGCAGAGAGTTTCAACTGGAATGAAATACTTTGAAAAGTACATTTCAGACTCAAACTGGGTGATGTTTTCTGGAAAAGTGGTGGGCAATTTCTTTTGGTTGTAAATGTACTTTGCCATTTCTTTAAGTCTGTCTTCTCTTAGCGGACACACAGTTCCAGGTGAATTTTCTGTGGAGGTTTCTGCCGGTGAGTCTTCCATCAAATCAGAAATGCTTAGAGGTGAGTCTCGTTTGGCATCTGGGGAAAATAACTCTTTGTTGGTTTGGAAGAGGAACCACTTTGCTATGCATTTGTGCAAGCAGGAAATTCTCCCTCGAGAACAATCACAATGCCACAACCTTCCCTTTACATTGTATGTCACGAATAATCTTCCTAACTTGCTGTACTGCGACACTTTGGGCTCGAACACGGACAAATACAGGCAATGACTTCCACCAAGATCCACAAGAGTAACAAGTGGGGCTCTGCTCTGAGTGGCTTGGTCACGGTGGTTAAGACACTTGGCCCCCATGTCCTTTCCAATCCATTTATTGTCAACCAGTTCCTCCAACACACCAGGTTTTAAGTCTTCTATGCATGCACGAGTAAAACAAAAGTCAACAGAGCGTAGATGAGGGCACTGGCTATTAGGTAAGCCGCTCCTCCTTTGAAAATCGGAAATCACCTCACACCGATCTTCTTCACACACCATTTTGTGTGTGCTGCCTGATTTCTTTTTAATGACATGAACTGGTACAGCGGTGGCCTTGTAAGACTTTGCTACAGCGTACACCCCATTATGAGAGTCAATACACTGACTTCTAAGATGGTCTTTGGCTGTTATGTCCTTCTCAGATATCAAGTGTTTCCTGAGTTTATGTTTTCTTAGATTTTTTTTATTTAAGTATAGGTTGCACATTGGACATTTTATTTTTCTCCATACTGTTCTGACTATTTGACCGGTTTGCTTAACAGGGTCGTCTGTTAAAGTGGATGCGTGGACCGATGGGGCTGTCAGCTGAACAGATGGGTCAGGAATAGCAGCAGCAGGCTGGCCAGCTGTGGTTGTGGGTTCAACAAGGAGGTCAGGTGAAGCTGAAGACTGGCCTGATGTGCAGTTTGATTTAACGGGGGGGTCAGGCGGAGAAGGATGCTGATCTGCTGAGGGTTTTGGTTCAACAGGGAGTTCTGGTAGAGCAGGATGCTGGTCTGCCGTGGATTTTGGCTGAGCAGGTGGCTTGGGTGCAGTAGGAAACGGTCCCATGGTGATAGGCTGCTGAAAAGGGGGAGTGAGGTTGAGCAGGAGGACGGCACACTGGCCGACTGTGGTAACTGGCAGAGCAGGAGAGCCAGGCGGAGCAGCAGACTGGATGCCTGTAGCTGCCGTTGTTGAACTTTGCGTCTCCACACATTTGTCCATATGACTTTCAAACTGTTTCCGTGTTATAATTGTCTTTGCACAATATGGACAATGAAAGTGTCTTTCTCCTCTGCACTGCAAATGGCACGAATGAATATTAAACTCTGCAAAGAAAAAAAACAAAATTAATGAAAGGGAATATAATCTCACGGAGAAGCAGCTTTGTAAAACTGTGTGGATACATTATACAGGCTCAAGTAGCAGTTTATATTCTGACCTCCATGTTGCAAGGCCCTCATTCTGTGGATTTCCACATGTGTCCAAACACTTGCATAGTCTCCTTTTGGTTTATAGACTGCTGGCTGGCAGAAGGGACAGTGGTAAAGCTTGCACTCTTTGCACAACTCCAGACGCATGCGGCCATCTGATCGCCTGCAGACTGTGACGTGCAAGTCCCTAGAGACAAAGATGGAGAAATTCAATATATTGTAACAACAAAAACATTTTAAGAGACCATAAAATTGCAGCAGTCCGGCTTTTATTTGCTTAAATCTCTGAACTCACCCTGCCTGTAAAATTCTGTAAAATGAACTAAAGAACTGAATTGTGGAGAATCTAACGATCTGTAGCATGTCCATATTGACAAATGTTTAAACATTTACATTGGTATGCACAATCTAAGAACATTAGAACTGACTTAAGCTGGCGACCCGGTGGGCTTCAAGAGGTTTTATACATCTAAAGAACTTGAAAATGAGGCATCTAATTGAGACCTGTGTCTATTTGCCCGAAGGTGTAGTCACACCAGACCAGTAAAAGGGACAGGCGTCTATTTGGGACTGGGCTTTTAACTGAAGTTTTACAGTAATCACGTACAACACAAACTTAATTGACACCTCGAAGACATTAACCTAGTTTCATCTGACATTTCATAAATTACAAATAGTATTTGTGATATTGTTTGTATCTGCCTGGTTTACTCATTGGTAGGCTTGTTCCCTGTTGTGCTGGAGTTGGATTAAGGTTTTTGTTTTTGGTTGATTTGGGGTGGGGGGACATTTTGCATTCCTGCAAAAAAATGTCTTTCCTTGTATATTGACTCTGTAATGCTCAGAGACTTTAATGACATAGAATTATAACTCATCTCGCTGGGATATTATTTATTTTCTATTATTGGAAACTTAACTCTACTGTTTCTTCTGCATCCTGTACGCCTTCATGTGCCTGTGTAGTCAATGCATCTGTGTATCATTACTCCTGTATCTTGTTTAGTGGCTTAGCAAGGAAACATGGAGGAGATAAACCTGCAGACTTAGTTCATCCAAGTCACAAAACTTAGAATATGCACCAAAGTTGAGCCTTACAAATATGTCTGCATCACAGAAGCACCTTAACTTCTTACATCCTAAGTTATATTATGCACAGTGTGAATAAAGCGACACAACCTGATAATGTGTTGTGTTGTGTTAGACGTGTAGTTTCACAACTTGACTTGTGTGTCTCTGATACCTCAACGATAGCTTGCACTTGACAATGTGGAACAATTTTTCTTTACTAACTAGAGCCACAGTTGATGGACAAAACGTACAACAACGTGGTTAATGTTTGTATTTTTTTTTTATTCAGTCCCTTCAAAAACTCCTCTCACCTTTCAACACGCCCAGAAAGCTGCCCTCGCGCCCATTTCGTCTCACCACACGCCCCGCACGGCTGCGCCATCTTGGCTGCAGGTTTCTGAAGTTGGGCTGTGGGTTTTGCAGCCCTGCGAGAAGCCTGTCAGGCACATCGTCGCCTCAGAAACGCCAACAATTGCTTTATTTGCGTGATACAGATACTACACACCCATTTAAGGATCCCATGTTTCATCCACCACTGTTTTTTTTTTGTCAGAAGTGCAAGTTTATTTGTATAGCACATTTCAACAACAAGGTAATTCAAACTGCTTTACATAAAACATAAAAGCAACAGGGAAATATAAAAAAATGTTTTAAAAGAGTTAAATAGAAAATAAAAACAGGCAGGTCTCTCACCTTAGCTTATTTTACTCCTTTGATTCCCCATCTACCACTCTATCCTTTTTTTTTTTTTAACACTTAGGACTCTAACCCTAAGTGGAAATGCAGTGTTTTTATTGATGAGCTGGCTACAATACAAATAACTAACTAAGCCTTGATGTGTAATGCATTTACCCAATCTGCAGTATTACAATGCTTTTCATGTCAACTCTGTCGCTGTGTGGAAATCAGTGGGCTGCTAAGTTCCTACTTGACTCTAACTGGACTTACAATATTCTCTGTATTCTCTGCTTGTGGCAAAGTGCAGTACATATTTTAATCTAATAACTTAATTACATCTATTGTGCTCACCATTTTGCAAACTGTGTTTACCACAGGGCATTCATTTTTTTACTTTTAACTTTTATGTTAGAATCAGAATCAAAATCATCTTTACTGGCCAGGTATGTGTAGGATTTTGACTTTGGATTGTACGTATGTGGATTGTTGTAACTTGCTATTTGATTGTTTTGACTGGTTTGTTTGTGCTGTGACACGGGAATTTAACCCCCCTCCCCTGGCATAAATAACTATTTATCTAATCTATTTTCAATTAACAATAACACAACATCACAAGAAAATGATATACATTGAGAGATAAGACAAATAAAACAATGAAACAAAAGCAGTTGAAAACACATTGTATGAGGGAGATATAAATTAATATGTAGCCTTTATATAAATATACTTTTTACTGAGTAATTTGCCCATTATTAAAGAGGTTTTGATAGATTTTTTGTTTGACAATAATTGTCAAAGAGATATTGTAATTGAATATAAAACAAATAAAAATTGGTAGTGCTTTGAAGCGTTCTAGCCTTATGGATTTGAAATTGCCAACAATACACAATAGTTTTAGAGAATCATTGAAAGGCTGTGAGCCAGTATTACAATTTAAAAACAAGACCATGCCTTCTAACATGTGTTAATGTGGTAAAACTTTAAAAAGTCATTAGAGAATCTTCTATCCATTTAAAGAAAACATGACTAATGGATTCAACTTTTAGTGTAAAGAAAGAACATGAAGGGAAAATAAATCTGTTTACATTTTTTTTTTTTTTTTTTTACACAGGGATAGTATCTATGTAAAATGTTCATACGAACTTCTTTAAATTTATATTGGAATGAGGAATTTCTTAGATAGATATAAAATAATCGTTTTGTTTGGTTATTGCTGGATGCTGTGAAGTCGTGCCTGAGAGGCTACACTGAGGTTAAAACAACTCTGAACACAAGCCTCGTCAGTGACGAAGCCCCCCAGTGGTGACAGAGGGGAGCTGCAACCTTTCGTTTGTCAAACCGATGCAGACATGACTTCTGGTGAATACTTTAATAGTCATCGTTAGAAACCACAACTTAATTAATACACACTGATTTAGCAATATATTCTTTAGATGTATCAGTACACAGTGGCTAGTTACTGAAAGATAACCTTCCTACTGATGTAGTTACTTGTTTACTGCACCTACTTACTTACAGTTTCGTCTGTACTGTGATGTTAAATCCCCTTGGCATTTTTCTCCCCCTTGAAATTTGATTAAAAGGGTGGAAAATTATGGGTGACCCGTGCATTTAAAATGAGGAGCGTTCACTGCCCTCTGGCGGTCACGTTGAAGAACTAATAAAACCATTTAGAGGGTACTTTTTTTTTTTTTTTATCCTCGTTCTTATGTCATCAGTAAGGGCCTCAAAATGGCAAAAACAGAACACGTCACTCGCCGCGACACGCCACACTTCCTGCAGCGTGATGGAGGTGTGCAGCTCTTCAAATGTTACTTTGAGAGAGTTTGGTTGTGAACAGAGTTTACTGTCTCGACCTGACGGTTCAGCGTCCTTCATCCAAGGTAACAACACACAGAAATATGAATCGGAAACCGGCTGTAAACAAGGAGCCGAACTCGGGATGTTGCACTTTAAGGCTTTTTGTTGGATTGTGTTCAGGTTAAAGTGTGGCTTAGCCTCTGCCACATGCAGCAGCCTCCCCGGACATCATACTACATACTACTCACAAAGTATTAAATCTCGTCACGCATGTATAACGTTAATCTAAGTTAAAAAGTGAGTTTCTGAAAGCGGAAACTAAGGTTACCTGTCCTATTGCGTTCAAACACAACAATCAGCTGCAACTCTTTTATGTACATTCTGTTGGTTTAAATATCTAATAGCTTGTGACATAATGTGTGTAGGTTACACTCCATTGCACACTGCATTTATATATAACAATGAGGAGGAAGAACCTTCATGGAGAGACAAGCGCTGCACGGCATGGACAGATAGAAGAAGTGGCTGATATCAAGAAATCCTACCAGTGGCTAGAAAAGACTGGGCTAAAGGACAACACAGAAGCACTAATCATGTTGGCACAAGAGCGGATACTCAGTACAAGATCAGTAGAGGCTGGGGTCTACCACACCAGGCAGGACCCCAGGTGCAGACTCTGCAAGGATGCCCCTGAGACAGTCCAGCACATAACAGCAGAGTGTAAGATGCAGGAAGCTGTCATAGTGTAGAGGAACATCTGCCATGAGTATGGGCCGGACTGGTGATGGGCAACCAACCAGACGTCGTGTTGATTGACAAACAGCAGAAGAAGGCAGTAGTGATGGATCCCAAGCGACAGCAACATCAAGACGGAGGAACACGAGAAAATACCAAGGGCTGAAAGAGGAGCTAGAAAAGATGTGGAGAGTTAAAAGTGGTGCCCGTGGTAATCGCAGCGCTGGGGGCTGTAACCCCCAAACTGGGTGAGTGGCTACAGCAGATTCCAGGAACAGCATCTGAAGTCTCTGTCCAGAAGAGTGCAGTCCTGGAGCAGCTAGGATATTGCGCAGAACCCTCAGTTTCTCAGGCCTCTGGTAGAGGACCCAAACGTGAGGATGACTCATACCACCCAACGAGGGAAATAAATAAATATATAGTTTCACATGTAATAGAATATTCTTAATGTAAGTGAAGGTGAAGGTGTTTTTCTTAAAGTTGGAGGCAACAAAATATATGTTTGGTGGTGCTGTAGAAACTTAATGTGGCTATCACTAAGTTTTTTTGTTCATAACTTGGGTACAAATTTAAGATGCTTTGTGATCGAAATGTCAAGCATTAATTGTTTGGTCTTTTAAAACTACAAAACTGTATTATCTCTAAATGCATTCCTGTTGAGGAAGCAAAAATAGTTGTTGTTAGTTTAATGTGGGTAGGTGGCGTCACAGGGATCAATAAGGTATGTTCTGTAGAATAATGTCCTCTTTTGTCCTTATGTGAAGGAGACACAAGTGTATTGGCTGGAGTGTACGGACCAGCTGAGGTCAAAGTCAGCAAGGAAATCTATGACCGGGCAACACTGGAGGTGTTGGTACAGCCCAAAGTGGGACTGCCAAGTAAGTGATTATCAGAAGAAAAACATTCTTTGTGCAGCTTTATTTGATTTGTTTATTGGGAGTCTAATGCGGTCTCTGAATGTTGTTCAGATTCAGTGTGGATAGTTTAAATCTTCTTATATGAATGATAATTTAATTATATTTTCTAACACTTTATATCTTTGTTAAAGAAGTACAGTCCCCTCCAAAAGTATTGGAACAGTAAAGCAAATTCCTTCTTGTTTTTGTTGTTCACAGACAAGAGTTCAGAATTTCAGCTCTCATTTCCTGGTATTCACATCTAGATGTGTCTTAAACAACTTAGGACATATCAACGTTTGTATTAGACCACAGCATTCTTAGGTGAGCAAAAGTAAAGGAACAAATAAAGTAAATAACATTTAATATTTGGTGGCAGAACCCTTGTTTGCACTAACTGCCTCAAGCCTGCGACCCATCGACATCACCAAACTGTTGCATTCTTCGTTTGTGATGCTATTCCAGGCCTTTTCCTTCTTACAGTTCTTGTTTGTTTCGAGGTGTTTCTCCCTTCAGTCTCCTCTTAAGGAGGTGAAATGCATGCTCTATTGGGTTAAGGTCAGCTGATTGACTTGGCCAGTCTAAAACCTTCCACTTTTTCCCCCTGATGAAGTCCTTTGTTTTGTTGGCAGTGTGCTTTGGCTCATTGTCCTGCTGCATGATAAACTTCCTCCCCATTAGTTTCAATGCATTTCTCTGTAAATTGGCAGACAAAATGTTTCTGTCCACTCCTGAATTCATTCTGCTGCTACCATCAACATTTACATCATCAATAAATATTAATGAGCCTGTTCCAGAAGCAGCCATGCACGCACAAGCCATGACATTACCTCCACCGTGCTTCACAGATGAGCTTGTTGCAGTTCCTTTCTTTCTCCACACTTTGGCTTTTCCATCACTTTGGTAGAGATTAATCTTGGTCTCATCAGTCCGTAAGATTGTGTTGCAGAACTTTTGCAGCTCATCTCTGTACTACTTTGCAAATTTCAATCTGTCCTTCCGATTCTTCCTGCTGATGAGTGGTTTGCATCTTGTGGTTCGGCCTCTATATTTCTGCTCTCTGAGTCTTCTTCCAACAGTGGATTGTGATACCTTCACCCTGCACTGTGGAGGTTGTTGGTGATGTCACTTACTGATATTTTGGGGGTTTTCTTCACAGCTCTCACGATATTTCTGTCATCAACTACTGTTGTTTTCCTTGGCCGACCTGTTGGACGTCTGTTGTTTCTTTTTCAGGACGTTCCAAATTGTTGTGCTTGATATGCCCAATGTTTGTCCAATGGCTCTGCTCGATTTTCCTTCTTTTCTCAGCTTGACAATGGCTTGCTTTTCTCCCATAGACAGCTCTCTGGTCTTCATGTTGGTTTATCCTCTTTAACAGGAAATGCAGTCTTTATAGGTTTGAACCAAGGATGAAAACTAGTCATGCAGAGCTATTTAATGTTTGGACAATCAACCTAAAAGGCTACAAGAAACATCTGTCAGTCACACGTTCCAATAGTTTTGCTCACTTGAAAAATGGGTGGGTTCAAACAAAGGGTGGTATGGCCTGAGTTGTTTAACACTAATCTAGATGTGAATACCAGGAAATAAAAGCTGAAATTCTGAACTCTTGTCTCATACTCATCTTTTGATCTTAAACCCAAATGTCTTCAGTGAACAACAAAAGCAAAGGAATTTGCCTTACCGTTCCAATACTTTTGGAGGGGACTGTATTTTCAAGTAGAGCTGGGAGATACATTCATATAAATAATAATAATGCACAAGACATGTAGAACTATTAATTCTCTGTAATGGTGAAAACATGAAATATTAAATGTTGGGTATTTCACACTGTGTGGGCAGGTTACTGTACTGTTACAATGCAGTGTTGAAATGATGAGACACATACACGAAAAAATTGTTATACGCTTCCGAAATAAAATTTTCTACAGTGAAAATAAGGAAGTTTAAGGTGAACTTTGGGGTTTTAGGAGGTTACTAACTGTAAATTTACAACCTTTTCCACTTGTACTGTACATAAACTGTCATACCGCAACACACCACAAGGTGGAATAAGTCTCAACATTTACATATTTTCCAGGTGTAAAGGAGCGTTCACAAGAGCAGTGTGTGCGAGAAACGTGTGAGGCGTCTCTGCTCATGTCACTTCATCCTCGCTCCTCCCTCACTCTCATTCTTCAGGTGTTACATGATGATGGTTCAGTATCCTTCCGTAAAACTCTTGCTGCATTGTGCTGTAAAGTTAATTTCAAATCTGCTGGTAGGGCATTGAAATGGCGTTCCAGTGGTGTTTCTTGGTGAGTGTTCTTCCTTACCTGTTCCTCAGCTCTTGTCTTGCTCGTTGAACGCTGCCTGTATGGCTCTTATGGATGCAGGCCTGCCTATGAGTTGCTTGTTCTGTGGAGTGACCTGTTCCATCGACACACAAGGTCAAATTATCACAGACCCCACTGCAGCTCAGGAAAAGGTAAATCTGAGACTTGTGTGTTGTGTTAAAAAAAAAAAAAAAAAAGAGGCAGGCCAGTCTACTCCTAGTGAAATGGGCTTTACGTCTGTGCCTCACACCGTGCACTATTGCTGTTCAGCCTCCAAAATCAGTTTAATTTTCAGCTAGAAAACTGGATTTCACTCTCCATCTAAAACCTGTGTAACTCTCGTTCAGGCTTTTTTGGGGGAGGTGTCAAAAGACAAATGTAGAAGTCTGAAAAATGTCACACTAAACATGTACCACCACTGACCATGACATTCACCTGAATGCGCTTATAAGATATATCATGTGGAATAAACTGAACATGGATTGGTGAAATGTTAATTGAATTTGTCCCTTCTGGAAATTTGTTTGTACAAGTCCGTTGTGCTCCGCAGAATATTTGCATGTCTTTTCAGCACAATCAGCTGAGCACTCTCATAACCCTCACTGAATTAATGTTTTCTTGTCTGCTTCCACTCACACCAGGAAAGTCGAGCTTTGATGACTTTTGCTATTGACAGTACAGACAACAGAGTAATGATGTCATCAACCAAAGGATCGTTTTCGGTTCATGAGGTTAGTAAATGAAGGAGCAAATGTTTTAGTATCTGTCAAATTTAAGTTTGTGATCATGCCTAATGTATGATTTCCAGGTGTGTTGCACAAAGAGCACAGTTATGTTTGATTGTGTCATTATTGTGCGAGCTCTGTCGGTGATCTGCTGTCAGGTCGGAAAATGATGACATGTTTTTCACACTTTCTATAGTGATATTACAGACATCTCATGTTAAGATTTTTGTTTTTCTTCTTCTGCAGCTGCAGCAGTGTATAGTAGTCAGTCAGAAAGCATCAGAGAAGATCTTCCAGTTCTACAGAGACTCTATCAGGCGGCGATACTCCAAAACCCTCTGAAGAAGCAGATTCTTGTCTTTTTTTTTTTTTAAACAATAGCAAATAATGATGTTTTAAGAAAATATTTAGCAGGTGGTAGTGGGGGGGGTTTACGTTTTGGCATGAGAAGACCAGATTGAACTGTCAGAGTGCGAAATAAAAGGAGGAAAGACATGTCAAACAAGTGCATTTATTGGGGTTCATTGATTTTTCAGCTTAATATTTACATGTAATACAAGGATGTGAACAGGGAAATAACTGAATATCTCTTGTATTAATAAATTTGACTTGCCACAACCATTGACCTTTATTGACACGAGTTGTCCAGTGTGTTTTCTGTAGTGATACAAAGTGAGACACATCTGACCAGAGCCAGTCTCATGACAGTGTGATCAATCAAGGCAATCCACATTTAATGATTCCGTACAAATCACTAATTGTGGTAACGCAGCTGTAAAAACGGGACATTTTTTGAATTGACACAAATGTCCAGTGGAGACAGAGGATGGTTCAGGATTGTCAGAACTGTACGACACTGTGTGACCTCAGTTAGTGCAGCTGTATCGCAGCACATCAACATGATAGCTGATAAGGTTTAGACACTGATATCACGTGTATCTACATACACACTAATAGTCACCTAGGTTTGTTACAACACTGGGTTTGGAGAAAACATCAGATTTGAGTTGCTTGTAGTTCAGTTGTGGACTATAAAAACTATACATCTAAATATAAAATATCAACTTTTACCTTGTAGTCATTGTATTGTATTTTCTTGGAGGTCCCTTTGTTCACTCTATGTTTTGTTAATGACATTTAAGCTCAAACCAATACAGCCAGAGTTTTTTTTGCAATAAATCAGGACCAAATGAAGGAAGTGATTGAAGCTTGGAGCAGGTTTGTACTTGACAAACTACAAACTCGCCATGCAGTTTTCTGTTGTGACCGAAAAAGAGATTTGTTTTTTACTGACTCATGCATCACACGGCTGAGCACTAGTTGTCTTGATAGACTACTTTTTGCAACATTTATTTTTACCCCTTTGCTCACTTGAACAAAATGCTGCTGTGTTTGCTTAAGTAGACAACTTCATTTTTTAAGTTGTCATACTGCAAGAAGCAAGTTCCTGAAGGATTTCAGTCCTCATTTTGGAGGAGAAAATAGCAGAATCTATATTTGGGGAGCGTGGAGTTGCAGACTGGTTGCTTCTATTAATGGAATAGCTCATAAAAGGAGCATCCTTAAGAGTTTCTTCTGTATTTTTGGCACTTTTCATTGCAGCTCTGCACCCCCGTGTGTATGTCATCATTTCCTAGCACTGTATGTAGAAGCAGCTCCTTTACCTCTATATCCAGAGCCTGTGTTTAACATCACCTTGCATTTCATTTGAAAACTCCTGAACTCCATTTATTTTTATTTTCTTAAAGAATGGCACTATTTGTATTTTTCATATGTTGTGTATTTCAACATAAATATACTTATTCAACTTGGCATAGACAAAGCAAAATCAGTCCTTTTCTGGAGCTAAACAGTGAGTGATGCTAAATTATATCAGGATGGGTTGATCAATGTACATGTGCAGTGTTTCCACGTGGGTCCCTCGCTCTGGCTGGAGGAGCAGCAAGAAATTCTGGGTTATTGCTTCTGGTCCCTCATATATATATATATATATATATATATATATATAAAAAGCTCTTGGGCTCTGAAACCATCACCAGCTTTTCCCCCCACAAGCGACAGTGCTGGCTCAGGCCCTCCCACAGCAAGGTCCATCAGGATTTAGCCAGTGCCACGTCCTTGCTGTGACCTTCTCATAAATCTGCAGACTCCACCGCCGTATACTGCCCTCCGCTTGGCTCCTCCCAGGCAGACAAGGCCACATATCCCCTCTCTTCACTTTCTGCTTCTCATTATTCTTCCATTGTTATTGTGACAGTGATATCTACAGTGATAACATCTGCATTTGTTGTCACAGTTTTTTGTTTTACTTCAGCAATGCTTAACACGTGAGGACGACTACAGCACAGATTTAAAGGATAACAGATAAGTTCAGTCCTGACAGACTGAATATTCTACATGGAGTGATATTGTATAACTTCTTTTTCAATTATTTTTCTTCACGTGCGAGGAATGCCCTCTGAGTTAAATTATGTCCCAATCCAATTAGAAGTGATTATAAAATACACACCAGCTCTCCTGTGGTTTTCACTGTCTGTTCTCTGCTTTTAAAACATAACTGCAAATAGGGTCGACAGACAAAGACTGTGATTATTTTACATTTACAGGCGACATGTTGATATTCATGAAATGTGCGAGAGGTATGTTTTTTGTGTGTGTATCCTTGTGCAAAAGTTGCTTTTATGGTGGTTTGCCAGACAGGTAGGAAATCAACGCAGCGATGGCACAGATGTACGTTATGATTCCAAACACAATGGAGAGCACCGAGAGCCACAGGGCCTGGCGAGACGCTGCATTGGCCCCCTGAAAATCCCCCTGAGCCGATGCCTTGTTGGTCTGAAAAACAGAGGAGAGGAGAGTGAGATAAGGATTAGAGGTAGGGGAAAAAGAGGAGAGAAGGGCATTCGTCATCATTTGTCAATGTCCTCCCTGGCCTCCACTTTCCTCTTCCACTCATTCCAATCACACGCTAAGCTCATGTTATGTTCCATCGCTAGATCACACCCGCCGTTTGTGCCTCATTCATCACCTTCCTCTGCTCCGTTCCTCTCTCCCACTAGTCCTTGCCTTTGACTCTGACCCCCGTTTTAGGTAGCACTCAACAATATTGGAAATCTATCACCTTGGGGCTTCTTGTTATGACTCTAATTAAACCTTAATGAAGGCCATTGATCTGATCAAAAGGCCTTTGCAGCTTGCTGCCGGTTAGCTTTGCAAAAGCGTTAATGGGATATATATTTTTTTTCAGTGCTGGAAGGATGCCTATATACACTATGGGCCTCTGGCAACTAGAGATAGAGGTGTTAGGGGATTTTCTACACAGCCAGAGGTAATAACGACTGATGGCAGTGGTGCTGTGCCCTTTTCCCTGCTCCATATTTCCAACTTTGTCTTAGAAGAGATTCATTCTTCTTAGCTATCAAATTAACAGTTTTAAGATGTTTATAGGAAAACACTATGTATTATATCTGCAGTATCTCATCTCAGTTTTGTTTTTGTGAATGTGTAATGTTAAAGACTGATTTTGGAGGAAGGAGATGATTATATTGATAGCATACTGACACAGTATTTAAAAGTAGCAGCATGTTCGCTGGCATTTTTTGTTTTGTGGTTAATTATTAGATTCCCTTTAAAATTTACAGCCTGTCAACCTGAATAGACCTTGCAAAGAAAAATAATGCTTTGTTGGAGCTGTTCACAACTCAAGTTAGGCCTGTGATGGGAAGGTTGTGAACATCCAGTCGTTCAATGTGTCATGCCACTGATACGGGCGCATTTGATGATACATAATAAATGTAGTCAATCATTTCTGTTTTTTTAAATATCTTAATTAAGCTTCTGTATAAACGACCAGTCTTAATTGTGGCACAACAGACCTAAAATGATCTAAATGTATAAAACCACATTGCACATCCTTGTGCATTCCTCCTTTGGATTGTTGAGCTCTATGCAGTTTCAAAGCTCTTGTGGCATAATCCTGCAAATCTAGGTGTAATCTCTTCCTGTCTAAACTCCAAGACACTGGACCTGTTGTTAGTCTGCACACACTGCAGAGGGTCGGAAATCACCCTTGGCTGTGAACTACAGTGCCAGGTTAAATCTTGTCAGATTGAGTGTGTGTGTGTGTGTGTGTGTGTCTACCTTCTGTGAAAGGTAGAAGGCAGCAATGCCCAGGGGCCAGAAGCAGCAGAGCATGGAGAAAAAGGCCAGACCCAGGTAGTCCTGAGGGATCATCAGAGGGAAGTTGCTCTCGCTGTCTGTATCACTGAAGTCATCAATGGATGAGTCCTGGGATTCAAACAGAGTGCACTTAGGTTGAGTTCATGTTAAAGGGTCCAGTATCCAAATTACAAAAAAGAAAATGGTATCTGTTCATGCAGATAGTTGTGGTTTGCCTGAGTTTTGAGATATTTGTCTTTGAGATTTCTACCTCCATACCAATGCAATGGAGATAAAGTGAATTGAATTTCCCAGCAACTGAAAATTACATTTAAAACATTCAACAGCAACATCTGTTGAGGATATTTTGACATTTATATTTTTCAATTCAGTGTGATTCCACTGAAAACCAAAGTAATTATACATTGTTTCTGTAAAGACACATATGCTGAATATAATGTAATTTTAGATGATGTGAGCAACACAAATCATATTCCCTTTGACCTTGTGGCATTGCTCTTGATTTTAATGGTATTCTACTACTGTGTGTTTGTCCACTTGCTTTTGTTAGTGGCAGACATCTTTAAACCTGGGTATGTAAAACTAAAACTATGTGCTAGCTAGACACACCTATAAGTGTGAGTGACTCAAAGTGTAGTCATTCATTCAAGTTAGCAAATGACAATGTTGAGTAATATTTTTCAACTTGCATTAAACATACAAAGATAATACTAAGTCACTGTTTTGTGGAAGAACTCACAACTTGCTTTTTTGTTATGTTGTGTTCAAGTCCTCCAAAACAACTGTAAAACTTTGCTGGTGCCTGTAAGATAATGTGACTGAATGGGGTTAGTCTAGATGTGCACTAGTGCTGCTGACCGCAGGCAATTCATGACTCATGTATCTTTTTGAAACAGCTGCATATTCAATCTGACTTCCACTCTCACTCTGACCCTGCCACATTACTCTTTGTTTTACTTTGTGCGTGAAATAATTGTGCATTTTCAAAATGCTCCCGCAACATTTGAGCAAATGCTTCATGCATCAGCTCCCAAATTCATCCAAATACTTTTCTTTCTGTGCTTTTAAACATTAAAGTAGATCAGACAGGGCAAATCAGTGTACATTATTGCACACATTGCTTTAAAGATTAGTTCACAAGGTTGTTTTTTTTCCTGATGTCAGTCACATTATGTTCCGTTGCTCTAAAAAAGACCATCTGATGACTGATTTGTCCTGTTTGAAATTATTTTCATATGTCAGGAGTGATCCCTCTTGAGCATTTTTTATTGACAGACTATCCTGAGGTAATCTCTAATGCTCTGGCATCATATAACATTAATCAACTCCACAGTGAAAATTTAGCATGAAGCAATGACGGGATTTTGGGGGCCAGATTGAGTCCTTTAACTAATCGTTTGAACAAAGGAGAACGAGATGTTGTGTTATGCCTCTTTGAGGTCACTGCAAGGTTTTATTCCCACAGGCCTTTGCATCACTGCACTACTGCCAGCATTCAGAATGAGCTTGAAAATTTTTTTTTGTGTGTGTACTGTTCTTTTGTCCTTGTGGATCAAACTCCTAAACTAAACTTTGCGGCAGCCAACTGCTCTTGATTTTAATGGTGAATGGTACTACTGTGTTTGTGTCCACTTGCTTGTGTTCTTAATCAAAGTAATGATCGTAAAATGGCCTTCAGCCTTTTATTTCACAGTGGGTAATTGGACCTTTTGATTTAACCTTGCTGAGAGACTTTTCATAACAATTTAAACAACCAGCAGCTACTTATTTGTAACATTTACAAGCATACACATTCTTGTGATCGCTCCCAAAATATCACATGACCACTGCAAGAGTCTTAAAGTTAATTTACATTTCACTCCAGGGTGGGCTTTGCTCACTGATCTATGAAATAGAACTGGCATCCTCCATTGCTACTGTAGTGTCATTACCTACACCGCAGCAGGAGAGGAGCTTTATGTAATCTGGCTTTTTGACAGTAAGGATTCAATTGCTGCCTACCCTGAAATGCATTGCTCATATATCTATTTTAAGTTCCTCTTTGGTTCCCAGAATCCTTACTGAGAATATGAGAGTGCTTTTAATGCAAAACTCCCCTAAGCAACAAAGAGGATGTGGTAGAAATCACATTATGATTATTTACAGAAAATGAATCTGCAGCTATTTTGATAACTGATATTTTGATTCATCGTTTATCAAGCAATAAGGCCAACTGTTGCCTGATTCAGCTTCTCCTGTGTGAGGTTTGCTAAAAAATTTTTGTTTTTCAAATTGTAAAGTGAGTATCTTGGACTGGATAAAAAGAGACATTTGGAGATGTCCCCTTAGACATTAAACTGGGAATTTCACTGTTTTTGGATGCTTGAGAGAATAGAATAGAATAAAATAGAGAAAGAGCACTGCCTTCCGATATTAGTCATAATTTTGTTTTAAATTACAGCTTGATTTTAAAATTTGGAAGTCAAATACACAAACTCAGTACACACAAACATTATTTCTTACGTCAGAGTCAGGAAGCAGGTCATCCTCATCATCCATGCTGTAGGACACACTGTGGTAGTCCTGCGTCTCGGCCAGCAGCTTCCTTTCCAGTGTGGAGCCGGGCCGAATGTCCACAAAGGTGGTCTCTAGGTAGTCTTTGCTGAGCAGGGAGTCTGCATGGCCCCAGATGGGGGCTGGTGGGTAAAAGGACTCCAGTGTGCGAGGTAAGGAGCAAGGGTCTAGTAGCTGTTGCTGCTGAAGCTCAGGTGGATGTCCACAATAGCTCCTCCACGCTAAAGGAGGGTAGGCCCTGTCCTCCTCACACTTAACCAAGATGCTCTTGAACAGCCCGCTGGAGGCCTGTCCAGTCCCCGGCCCCAGCCCCGGCCCTGATGCCCGGCTGTTATTGGGGTTTTCTTCCAGAAGAGGGTGCTCCAGCTCATCTAGATTCTCCATCCCTCTCTCACCACACAAGAGGCCACCACATCAACAACCAAATGTAATCTACAACTTGGTCTTAAGTGTCTCCCTAAAGAGTGTCCAGTGGGTTTCAGTGATAATCCATCTTTAATCCTATTCTTTAATTTTTCTCTTATTATAGGCCTTGGTCCATAGGCCAACAACACATTTCAGGTTTATGGCTGAAATATCCTTAATGTGCCAGTGGTCGCTTTCTCCTTTGTGCTAAGGGATGTGCTAAGGTTGTTAAGGGGGATTCCAGATCCTTCTTTCCTCACATGTCATAAACTATTTGTTCCAGGGCTTGATGGCTCAGGGTTTGCACCATGTCTTCCTTTTCACATGATTGAGAGTGTCACTGTTCATGAATATGCTAATGGAAGCTACTTTCGCTCTCATTCAATATGGAAATGTCACTTCTGATGATGGAAGACCTTGATTCGCCGAAGACAGGCTAATGAAAACACTGGGCAATGGGATTTCAGTGTGATTTGCCCTCAGGAACTCATGGAAAATGTCTCTTGCAATAAAAGTCTTAATGGAAGTGTCATGGTATTAGCGTCAAAGCTTTGGACGTCAATCTTTCCCTTCAGTTTTTCTAGATTTGAAATGGGCAATGACTTGTGATTTGGGAAACGATTGTGAGGAAAATAACAAAAACGACTTTAAAGATGTCCTGTCATACAGCCATGTGTTTGTTCCTCTGCAGGAGTCTGAAAAAACTGACACTGCTTTTGAAAAACGGGCCAGTGGGTCTTCAAATGACTCGACTGACGCACAGTGGGTTCTTTTGAAGCTTGAATATGCAGAACCTTCGGCAGCAGTCAAACTAGTGGTGGAATGAATGGATTGGGGCCATATTTGAGGGCAGTTAATCTGTAAAAGCAATGAGGCTCCAGAAATAGAATCCTATGTTGCACATTCGCAGGTCAGCAGGCCTGCCAACATGTCTGTGTCTCTGCGAAGTAATAATGAAAAAATCAAAGTCCAACAGTGTTGATTTATGGTTGTGGGTTCGCTGCTTGCCACAGCAGCGCTCCTTTGGAACATGTATTTCTAATGTACCCTGTCCACCTTTAGAGGGTTTCACTCAGGACGGACGGGTAGCTCTCTATTCGGTTCTCAGATGAGGATGAAGAGGTCTGTCAAGAAGAGAACATGGTCACACAAAATGTTTAGACTTTACATCTTTACTGCATCCTGGTACTCAGGGCTGTGTGCTAACCCCTACCCCATCAGACACAGGACATCGGTGCAGTGTAAGCGCTACTGAAGTGTGATCTCTTTGTGAAGCTGTGGGCCTTGATCGATCACTGCAGATATAGTTAATATGTTCACAACATATTATTATTATTTTATTTGAAAGTCTCGATAGAGATTGTGCTTCACTAAGTGCACTCCCTGGGGGTTGTGTCTTGATGTACGTCTCTCAGACATCTACAGAACATGCAGCAGAGACGGTTCAGAAAACATTGTGTGTGTGCTATGTTCTTTACCAAAACATTAACCTAAACATAGTACTAACCATAGCCATAAATTGGTATCTACATTAAAATGATTGCTTTAGCTTGCATGGACCAGCTTTTTGTCCCCAGTGGGAAGTTGAGTCCCAATGTGACTACATGAACAGTAAAACAAGTAAAAACTTGTATTAATCTCATTGAGATGCATGTGCAAGAGAGACCTAAGAACAAATTACATGTAAACAAAATGACAACAAGACCATTCATTCATAGATAGTAGTCATTACTCACACAGACACACTTAAAACATTCACAAATACAGTCTCTAAGTTTGTTTCATTTCAGCAGTGAGCTTCATAGTACCAGAATACATGGTACAAAATAATAACATACAGTGTAGTAAAGTAGTTACCAGTGTTAGTGTACCTGAAGTGTGCCTGGCACACAGCCCGGTGTGTTTCAGAGGAAGGCTGGTCACTTGGTGTTTGAGAAAACTGCTTACTCAGCAATATGTCTCTGATGGATACACACGCATTCAGTTCAAAGCAGACAGGGACACTGGTCATGGGACAATCTATGCATTATTAGTTACTGCAGTGCTGCAAAATGGCCTGAGCATTAATGATGCCCTAAATACAAGACTCCAGCATACTGTAGCAATAGCCATGGTACAATTAACAGCTTATATATGTGTATATATGTGCATATATATATATACAAGTGCTTGAGTTCGACTGCAGTTGCCGATTTGTAAAACAGTGAGTCCACACTAGGCAGTGTAAGTTTGGCCTGTCATCCACACTCAGCTGGCTATTTTCTTACTTGAACCAGACATTTTCAGGGGTTGTTGTGTCAGTAAACCTTCTGTCACACCCAACTTTCTCTAGGATCACTTATTTTAAATGTCAATATAGCTGTTGTCAGTAAGTTGTATTTATGTTTATATATTATATTTGTATTTATCATAACATGTTGATTTGATTGACGTTTCAATACAGCAGTGCAGGAAATACTATACTTACAGGGGCAGTGTTCATTAAATAGACTGTAAATGCGCCAGAGTTAACTTAATTGGACAATGTTAATCCATTGTCTCTGAATAGTTGTTAAAATGGCACCCTAAAATAGAATATTAAGACGTAGATAAAACAACAATAAAAATATGTCAATGAAAACAACTAAATGGTGAATTTGGCTGTATTAAGATACAGTAAGTTACAGATAGCCAGAGCAGTCAAATAGGAGTCCTGCTCATTGGCTGTGATTCAGACTTTTTTTTACCTAAAATAAAATGAAGAAGACGACATTTAGCCCTCTTTCTATTGTTCAGGCATTTTAGTGTTGATGCATATCTTTACAAAATGACCTGCATGCTAGTGTTATATTATGTGTCATTTGAAATAATGTTTTCAAACATAGCCAGCTTAGTGTAAATGTATATGCTAGCAATATTGACCTATCCAGGGTGTTCCCTGCCTCTCACCTAATACATGCTGGGATAGGCTCCAGCCCCCAATGACCCAGCACAGAATAAGCCGCTTAGAAAATGGATGGATGGTTGGACATATGCGCCTGATTGCCCCATAACATGGATTTGATAAGTGACTTAAAACATTACCTAGTGGCGTGCAATTATTAAGTTAAACTAAAATATGACTGACTTTATATATTCCAAACTGACAATATCTAAAATTAGCACATAACTGTGTGGTGGTGAAAAGCTACAGTGAGCTGACAAGTGAGAAGATATGAACAAAAATCTCTGTTTTGTGTGTGAAGAATAAGAAAGTGTCATTTCAACAAACTACATAATATCTCATCAGTAAGTATTCATTCTGCATGGCAGAGTGATTCATAGGCCTGAGATCAATTGAATGACTTGTTTTTGCACGCATCACTGCACAGCACAGGAAAAAACTGGAATAATTGCATGTCTTTGGGCTGGCGTGGTGCTGAGGGCTGCATTCTGGTCTGCGCGCTGATATTGCTTTGCCGTGCAAACCCCCTTCGCTCCCCTTCTCTTCACCCACACCTTTATGGAGGGTTTGTGCCTCCCATACTGAACAAGCTGATTGATCGCTCAACACACTGATGTCAGCGTCAGCAACAGCAGCTGCCTCCACCCTCTTAACATGCACACATCTGGACATATGGCGCATACTGCACACATGCCTTTTGTTCACTCACACACTAATATTTGTAGCACCAGCCTTCCCTCTCTCTTTTCCCCCCTCCCAATCGCTGCAGCTTCATTTCAGGAGAGATGCACTCAGCTTTATTACCCCCTGCCCCCCCCCCACACACACACCCCCCACCCATCCTCCATAAAAAGACTTCTGTCAGCTGTATTATAAGCCTGCCTCCTTTTCTGATTCTGCAACACTCATAAAACATCCAGTCAGGTAGATGGAAGGTTGCAAGGACACCGCTGCAAATCACTACCAACACTTTTACAAGAGCTTGTCTTCTCTCCTTCCCTATCTCTCTCCTTTTTAGTCTGGTGCTTTGTCATACACATACAGAACCACACATGTACTCAGCTCCCTCCATTACTTCTACCCCTCTTCTTTTGCTTTTGATCTGACTCCATCCCTTTTTCATTATCCAGCCAATACTTTTGGCAAAGCCACTGTACAAAACTAGTCTATCTTGGCACAAATTCTACTTGCTGCATGACAAGAAAACTTGTTCTTAAGACATGGAAAAACCAAAGTGAAATATTGCATTAAACCGCTGTTGCAAAAGCAGATAACTGGTGCTGATGAATCTTATATGGATTGTCAGCAACGCAATGTAGACTTTTTGTCACACACTGACTCTCTGAATATACACACACACCCATGCACAGAGCTGGATGTAATTGCTGTAATATTTCAGCTGATTCAGACTGAGGAGATACAGATACAGTGAACACAGTCGTAGAAAAGAAATGGCACAGAGGCTATAGGAAATAGGAACTGTAAACGCCTGTAGGCTTTAATAAATAGAAGCCTGACATATTGAAGAACAGCAATGTCAGGCTGATAAGACCAGAGCAGGCTTCAAGATATGCCAAACAAAAATCTGAAAACCCAAGTGGCGGTTAAATGGCCCTATTGATTTCATTTTCCAACCCTTTTCTCACTTTCCTTCTCTCTTCCTAAATCTGTGTGGAGAAACTGACAAGAGCAGAGAGGAAACTGAACAGAAAAGATAAGCAAAAAACAGGCGGCGACGTAGAGCGTGTTTCACAGCTCGTGAAGCCCAAAGTAACATCATGTTCCTATGGAAACACATTCACCATGGAGTGCTCACTGCAGGATAAATGAAGCAGAGGCTAATTTGCCATTTCAGTGTTCCTCTGCTCGGCTTGATAATAACTTGATGGGATAATTCCAGCATAGCCATGCCTTCCAGTAAGGATGTGTTACTGTCACATTACACTGCAAAGGATGGATAATTTCCACAGAATTACTATATAATAACAAATGAGCACAGTCACGCCGAGCACTGGGTTTACTTGAACCCCCTGTGCAGAATGTGTGCATGACAGTGTGAGCTCATTTATCTGTCCATGGTATGTCCCACTCTAACCCCAAACACCACATACAGTCATTTCCTTTCCTTCACATAACTACACATACACTGACAAACACACATGCAGTCCTTTGCAGCCTTGCATCATCTTGCCCTTTCAGTCACACGGTAAACAAAGCCTTTGAAGCCCTCGGTGCCCTGCCACACACACACACACACACACACACACACTGCTCGCACAGCTGGTGCTTGTGTGCAATGAGGCCGTTGGAATGAGAAGCTACCCATGTGCAATATGTTGCAAATGGCTCCAGCATCTCTGCAGAGTGTGTTGTATGATCAACTCAATGTTCTATTGTGTGCATCTGTAATCATCATGGGACACTGTACAGGGACTGGCTGAATCTCACGATCTTGTGTTGTTTCAGTGTTTGTTTGTGTGCGTATATGTATGTGTGTACATGTATCACTTGTGTCTTCTAAAACTGCTGCAACTCTTGCAATATTCTTGGGGGTTTACATGTGTAGTGGCTGTATGTGGATGTTACTGTGAAAAAAACATTTGACCATGTAAAATGAGGTTACTTAAATGCTTGTTGTACACACATGTACATTCCCAACATACAACACACTGTTTTTTTAACTATGTTTTTATTTTGATATATTTGGCCATCACTTTTCTTGGTCTAGTCACAAATTTACAACAAAGTACAACATGTATGATCTGTCAGATGTTGTAACAAATGCAACAATCAGTTTAAGAAATAATTTAGTTAACATAATACATTTAGTTGTCACTTTCAACATGCTGTTATAAAGCTCTGCCCAGAGTTGCCGTAACTAAACGATCCTAACCCAAAACTATAAATAAATGTCCTGAAATATCATGTTTTAGTGGCTGACCACATGTAGAGTAGACATGTTTGAACAACCCACATAAAATAATAAATAATAATAAAATTCAGAATGTTTACAAGGATTCAATTTCATCTCTCCCAATTGTAGTTTTGACTTGGATATTAATGACAGTTACACCGTGAACACCAGCCTGAAATATGTTAGTTTAACTTTAGTAATTTGTTATTGGTAAAGCCTGTTTAAATGTATGTTAACATTGACAAGAACCGCCACAGTGCCTAACCGGGGTTTAACTTGCATAATATCAAAGGCTGCAGATGTCATCTAGACTGTGTTTACATCAGCGATATTGCTGTGTAATAACCTGTGTACAGATTACATTTAGGTATGTAACAGCTATGTTTAAGGTTAAGGTAAGCCTTTAGGGAACACATTTGAATAAATAAAATGTTCTGACAAGTAACCAAAGCAAGTGTATGTTAGGGTGTGCATGCACCAATGAGCTTAATGAGGTAATTAGCCTCTTACAGATCTTTACATGAGTATGTATGACATGGTCTCATCATCGTCCCCACCACCGAGGGATGGCGTATTTGTTGGCCTCAAATTGACAATGACACACACTCTCACACGCACACACAGGCAGGGCACAGTCAGGTTAAGAGTGGAGAAAAGACCCGCTCTTAATCAGGAATGCTGTCAAGCAAAACACGCTGTGTCCTTTGAAAGCATACCCTGACACACATTTTACATTTCACACTTCAATATGTGATCTTCCAAATCAGATTCTGGGAGATGGCTGAAAGACTTTTTTCTACCTGAACAAAAGAGGAAAATGTGTTAAGGGATGCGGATGTGTGAAGTTGTCTGAGATTTCAGGAATGCTGCATGAGCGTGCTATGGTTTTATATTACTGCACACCAGGCTTGTCATACAGCGATAAATAGCTATACAAACATAAACATTGGACAGAGCTGTGTATGTTTGTAAAGAGTTGTTGCTCTACTGCTGTTGTGTTTGTACTACAAAGCAGCAATTGATGCACAGAGCTTTATTGTAATCTTCATAAATATACACACGTACAAAAAAGCTGTGAGAAAATGAATTTTGATTCATGATAAAACCTAAAAGTCTCTATCTCCTGCATTATAGGTGATATCAGTTTGGTCCTCCATTTTCTTCAGAAACATGGTCATAATTAATAAATCACCTTTCTCAAATATTAGCCCTAAATCAATAATTGAAAGGTTTCATGTCAGAACAGAGTGTTACTTAAAATGCAAAACCTGTTCTGACAAATTCCTGCTGACATGAAAGTCAGTGATTGCTGCTGCTGAAAGATTTAATCAGCTGAACAAGTTAGATGTGAAAGCATCTGTGAAAAAGAGCTTAGCAACTGGTCACATGGTGGCGCTATTGGTAACGTGTTTCAATATGTTGAGCACTTCCACAAAACGTTTGTGGTTATTGGTACTATGCTTTAATAAGTTGAGCACTTCTCCACTGTGTACCGGTATTATTACACTACACTACATTGTATGTAGGCTGAACTCCTAACTCCACCAAAGGACAATGGTAACCTTTCAACCCCATCCCCAACGCAAACCTAGCCTAAACCTAAACCTAACAGTAACTAAGTAATTCAACCTAAATTTTTTATGTTTTAGGGTGTGGGAACATGCATTTTGTATCCAAATGGAAGGTCAGTCCCTACAATGTCCCCAAAACATTAGTGACACACACACACACCTTGCCGGAGATGATACATTATTATTATTAGTATTTTTGTTATTTTTATTATTATGGTTATGTAATAAGTTACATACATAGCAGATTTTACTGCGTGATAATTAGTGCTTCACTGCTTGTTAATGAATTCAAACCCGTGAACACTAAGGGTGTTTCTGAACGCAATAGGAGCATTAAGTAGGCCTACTCTAAAATTATAAAGGAACAATATGTAGTTTGCCTTTTTGTTGGTAGCCTATTAAGGATGGAACCATAACAGAGAAAGGAGGAAAACTATTATTATTGCTATGTAACGTTATAACGTGTTGTCAAATAATAGTCAAATACACAAAACAGCCACCACAAACATCATAAATCGGGGGTTTCTGTAGTTCTTACCCAAAGTAACACACCTAAAGGTGTTTTCCAAAAATATTTTCTCACCTTTAAGTTGGAAACTGAGATCCGTCCTGCTTCGTCCTGTCCTGTTCTCGGGATGAGTCCTCCGAGAAGAAAAGGGGGAATCCAGTTTTAACCATCCACAGGACTGAATGCTGTTACACACGGATCTGCCGATTTGCTTGGTTTTAGCGTGGGTACGTGCAGAAGGTGTGTGTGTATATCCTATGTCTAGATACGAACGGAGTGTGTTTGTGAGAGAGAAAGGGGATGTGAAGGTTGAGTTACAGTGCGTGAGTCAAACTTGTCGGCATCCCTCCGTCGAGCTTTGCTGATGAGGCTGTGTATACATGCAGACGCACCTATTACACCTGTGCAGCCTGGCAGCATATGCATGCTGTGTCAAAGACTTCCCTTCCCCCTGCAAGGCATCTTCTTTTGCATGCCGCTCGGCTCGCTCTCTCTCCTCCTCACAGAAAGTAGAAGGTCTTTCATTAATCCTCGTTGCGGTACCAGTGCGTCTTACACGGTGTCAACTTTCCCTGACTTTCCAAACACAGCTCTTTTTCTATCCTCTCTCTCTTCCTCCACCTCTCTCTGTCTGTCTCCCTTTCTCTTTCCTTGACTCTGCTACCTTATTACGGAGGAAAAACCGGGTCTTAAAGCCTGTTGGTGCAGTGGGAGCATGTGTGATATATTTCAATTACTCTGGGGTCCTCCTAAGGATAGAAAGAAGGACACACTTTAGCAAAATGAGGACATTTAGCCTTTTCTTATTTATTTAAGAGGATTAGTAGGGTCAGAGCTTGATTTTGGGTTGGAATTAGGATTGGGGTTAAGACTAAGGATGCAGCAGGGGGGTTAAGGTTAGCCTTTGCAACACATATGTATGTGAAGCCAGTGAATTTTAGGATTCTGGAGGAGTTGCAAATGCAATTTCCACAATGCGCATCAACGTGCAAGTATGAGCAAACACAAACAGAGACAGCAATCAAAACAGAGAGGCGGGGGGAAATGAAAAGTGATGGAGGTGGAAAAAAGGCAAGTGGGGAGGGGGGTTGGATTAGTATTACGCAGTGGCTGAGTGTATGTGCTATACCAGACTGGAGGCAGTGAGATACCCCCCAGCACGGATGACTCCACTTTGTGTCACCGCTTTCATGTCCGCTTCACCCTATGACCCACTTTAGCTACCCAGGCCAGGCCACATTAAGATCTCAAGTCAGAAATAGACTCAAGAAGCAAAAACAATCATCCCTGCTTCATGCTCATGCTCATTTTGCCTCTTTCAGGAGAGGCCACACAGGATAAAGCTCAGGCATTGCTGGACACCAGCAATCAATGAAATCCACAGGGCTTAGGCTGAGTATTTAATGAGGTGCACAGCTCTTAGCTAGAATCCCCCTCCCTCAGAAACGGTTTAACCTTTTGGCTGGTTTTTGTTTTTGTTGTTCTTGTTTTTTGGTTCCTTCCAGCCAGGCAGCACAGCTGCAGTGCCTATCTGATCTGGCTGTCAGAGTGACAAGAGGCCTCTCAGTCCATCATGAAGCAGGGATCAATACACTCTCCTTAGTCTGAGCACATCCTCCACCATCACTCTATTTTCCATCTCTTTATTTTCTTCTTGCTTCTCTCACCCCTCTTCCTCCTGTTGTCCCCGCACCCCCACCCGTGTCTATTCTCCATCTTCATCGCTATGATGAGGGGGGGGGGGGTAAGCTATTTTTTCTACATCTGATATGATTGAGGTTTGACCACAGATACACAAAACAGCCTGTAAAATCTGCAGTACACTTTCCTTTTCATTGGTTTCAGTGTTGTTTCTTCTTCTAAATGTAATATTTCAAAATACTTGCAAGGTTATTGGCATTAGCAGAAAGATTTGAGAAAGCCTGACAAAGCGTCTGTAACTGATGCACAAGATACCCTTCAGCGTCTGTATAAAAAACCTTTTCAACATGTGGACTTCAGCGTCCGTATCAGACACCTTTTAATATGTGGTATATATGCAGATTGGTTAGGTTCAGACACAAAAAACTACTTGGTCAGATTTAGGAAAACATCATGGTTTTAGTTAGATTTAGGCACCAAAACTAGTTGGTTAGGTTTAGGAAAACATTGTGTTTTGGGTTGAAATAAGTACTTTACGTGATGGATGATGGGTTACAATAGAGTTACTTGAAAGCCCAGGTATCTCATACAGATACTGAAGGGTACCTTGTGCATCATTGATGCCCTGAGATTTAGCTGCTTTAAAAACCATAATGACCCGTTACTTCCCAAATAAGGAAAGGTAAGAGTCCTTGAGGTTAATAGTTGAGGCCAAGATGGAAAATGCACAGTGGTTTAGAAAATGGATAGTTTGGATGAAACTGTTTTTGAATTTTCTTGTGTGTGCTTTCCTTATTTACCTGAGTTCTTGACTTCTGCAGGTGTGGGCCGACTTCATTGTCACCACCATTCACCTGAACTTTCAGCTTGACTCTTAGGGTGTCTGATGTTGAGGGATGTCTTCTAGGTGAAAAGGCAATGAGCACCTTGCAGTGAGATGACGGTCACACGCAGCAGCATATCTACACATTCGGCTGGATTTTCGGCAAAATAAGTGTTATCAGACTTCAAATGAAGTTCAATTACAACATTATTGATGAGATGAAAAAATCTGCAGGCAAATAGAGCAAGAGTTGATATTTTAAGTAAGCCAGTGTTTTCCCCGTAGGGCTCTGTGGCTGCAACATCTCTCCATGAATGGCCACCTCAGCAAACCACAGGAGGATGAAGGAGGAAGAAAAGGGAGAGAGTAGTATTAGCAGGGGGAGTATTGTATTAGCAGAAAGCCTGAGGTGGTAAGTATCTCAATAGGGAAAACACAGCAAATCCAATACTCACTGAGGAGGGGGAAAATCACTTTGGAGGTCTAAAAAATAGTTATTGCTAGAAAGTGTTGAATCTGTGTTCCTGGCTTATAAAAGATTTCATTTATGCAATTCTGATATCCAAAACATGTGCTAGGATGCTCTTCTCTCAAGCTTGCTGTTGTTTTGTGTTATGAAACAGCCCTGGGGGACATATTGATATTTTAGCAAGATGTAATCTATTATACTTGTTACAGAGAAGGGCTAACAAGAGATCCTGTTTGTGTGCCAAGCACTTTGGGCAAAATGCAAATACAGCAGCTCAATCTCCCTTCTGGGCTGCGCACAGCTGAGGAGGGCTGATTTGTGTGTATGTGTGTGTGCGCTACAGTATAACTGGGGCTTACGCGCCAAAACAGAGGAAATGCAGCCTTGGTGCTGTGTCCCTCCCTGAAAGACAATACATGGAGAAAGTAGGGGCTCATGACTCTTTCATTTTTTCCAAGAATTTTCTTTCTCCCCTCTCTGCCTCTGGAGGCCTGAATTATTTATCTTGTACGAGGAAAGAAATGCTAAGGGATACAAGGATAATCTTAATGGAGAGAGCTCAGTGTGAGATACACAAACACACCCACACACATTCACATGTCAGGCATAAACTCCAACCCACGTACATACAGGAATGTTTACATAAATACACTCAAACACAAAAACACACAGGCACATACTGTTTGAATATGGACACATGGTTCAGTAATCATGGATGCCTGAAAAAGTGTCATATACATGCTCAGAGATAGTGTTTATATTTGGAGTGCTGATATGGTGAATAAACAGAGGAGAGAGACCTAAGGGAAGATGGAGAAAGGCAGAGAGAGGAGGGGTGAGTTTTCTCAGGAGGAGAGAGATTAATGTACCAGTAAATTGATTACATGGCGAGCGGTGAGGGGGACGAAATGTGATGCACTGTTGAGGAGTATACTTTGGGGACCACCAACAAGTCAAAACAGCAACTTATTTTGATGTAAACACTTTTGTGTTTTTTATTTGGTGGGGTCCATTTTTTGTGGCATGATTCTTAGGGAGCGGTTTTTTTTAAAGGATGAGTACATGGTAGGCAAATGTTAACCTTGAACAGAACCAGCTGCTTCTTAATGCCAAGATAAGCTAACTGGCTTCTGCTTACTGGCTCCAGCTTAATTTTTACCATAGGCAGGCAGTCAGTCTTCTCATCTAACTGTCAGCAAGAAAGCAAATAAGTATTTTTCCCAAATGTTGAGCTATCCCTTTCATCCAGCACAATTTTTTCTTATACAAAAGACATCTTTAAAATATATATAACAGGTCACCTTGAACTGCAAAACTACAAACTTTTTACAGCCACATTTCAAGCCTATAACAGATGAGTGTTTGATACTCAAATGATAGATTTTGGGTGGAGTATTACTTTAATAATCGGCAACAGAGAGACTGAGAGAGTGAGGGAGATATGTGTATAGGTGTTCAGGAAAGTGACCACCCAAAAAGTAACAGTCCTGTCAACTTTATTGATGGGATGTTGCTTACAGCAGCTAGCAGAGTAAGCTTCCAGAGGATTATTCATCTGTGCTCTGTCTCTTCAGTATAGTCACAGTCAGTTTCATTCCTCTGTAACATCCATCCTCATGAGGGATATGTGAGCAGACAACACACCAACCCGGAACAAACCTTGACCAGATGGTGAGTGGAAGATGTGCAAAAATAGGCTTCTGGGGAAAAGGAAAATAAAAAAGTAACTGATGTTTGGATGGTGCCAACATCACTCACCAAGTACAAAAAATCTTTATGATAAATCAAATATAGAATTTATTTTCTTCCATTTTCTTCCTCATGACAAACAAACCACAACACAAACAGGTGACTTCACCTTGAAGTGGTGCTAAGCAAAGTGGTGACTTAATGTAGTATTTCAGAAGTTAATGAACTATATTTTATGTCAGTGCAAAGGTTATACATAAACATAAGCCCAATTAGCTACTACATTAGTTTCATGGTTTTAGAATTTTCTCCCAGTCCTGATTATGTTACAAGAAAAATACTCTTACACTGAGTACAACATTTTAACATTATATAAGCTATATGTGGAAATAGGTCTAATAGTAAAACATTATAAATGAGCTGTAAAAGCTCAAAATGAAACATTCAGGAAAGTCATTCAGTTTTGTGAACTGCAGCTTTTTCTTAATTAGATTCCTAAATGTTCTGATTGACATTACAGAGGAACAGGAAAATATATTAAATTATCACATTTTTTGCCTGAGATGTCATGGTTATAATGGATATATTTATTTAGATTGCATTAGTGTTACTGTCTATGTTAAAGCAGCACTGGCTAGCACTGATGAGTACTCTCTGACATCAGCGTTACTCACATGTCTCTACCAGTTTGCAATTAGGGTGTAATATTAACCCAGAAGTGCTTTACAGTTGTTTAAATTATATGACCATCAAATTAATTATTTATAAATATATATTATATAATGTAAAACTACAAATACAAAAAGTTATGTTAAAATGGAGATGTTATTAAAGTCAAAGAACTAGAAGCAAAAGGAGAAGCCTTTTCAAAGTTGAAGTGCAAACACACAATATTTGAGATTTGAAGGTTTATTTACCTAATTTTAGAGCAAATAACACAATGTGTTTAGCCATGTTGGCTCTAGGGATGGTAGTGTTAGTCTGCTGGTGTGTCAGTTT